AAAATGCACATTTGCTTCCTCAGCAGCTCTATGCATAATGCAGCAAAAAGAAACCTGCGCTGTAGCTAATTCTGCTTTCAGAGCACTATTCTCTTTCGTCTTCCTTTCATTTTCTTGTTCAAGGGCATCATGAAGCTTATCAACATCTTTCTCACGCTCCAGAATCATCGCCTTCAATTTTTCATTCTGAAATTCAACGGTAGGCAACAGAGACGAAATTAAAGGAGAAAGCAGACAAGTTACCAAGCTAAATTTTTAAAAGTTTCGTCAAGATCTTCTGTATAAAAATAGTGAAACAAAATTTAAAAGTAAAAAAGTAAAAATGCAGCGATCACCACTGACATACCGCTTGCTTCGAACCAGCTAGCTGCCCCTTAAGTTCAATGATAGTCGCATCTTTGTCAGCAACTTCCCGAAGCAAAGCCTCTGCATTATTCCGGAGCTCACAGTGGTCTTCCTTGAGATGTTCGAGAGCAGATTTATGTTCCTGAACGAAATTTTCCAGATTTGTGTCAGAACTGCATAATAGGATAATAGCAAAATGTGAACTTAGCCTTAATCAAGGAAATTCTTCTTGCTCAGTAAGAAAAACCCTAGCACTTTGAAGAGGAAGTGCTCTTAATGACAACTTTTCCCTTAGAAATTTGAGCAACATTCGATTGTGACGTAACGCGTATGTGATCAATTTCTCTTCCAAATTTAAGCAAATTTTGTTTGAAAAATATTATATTTTGGCGTCCCTAATTCTCCGCGAGAAACAAACCTCCAATTTTGCTTGCATTTCCTCTTTTTCGACACTGCTTGATTGGCCAGCAATTTTGAGACTTTCACGCTCTTCAGAAACTTGAACAATCTCTTTCTCCAGTTTGCTCATCTTTGTACGAAGATCCGTGAGATCAGAGATTGCACTGTCACGGGCAGTTTCAGCCTAAGACAAGCTGCTTAAGTTTTTCTTCAAGGAAAAAGCAAAACAATCACCTCTTTAAGAATTGCCTGCAGGTTGCCAATTTCTTCTTTTTGTGAAGCGATTTGGGCAAGAAGCTGCTCATCTTGCGCTATAGTCCGATTACGGAAAAACGTACGCAGAAGAGATCAATTAAAGTACTGTGATTTCTCACCTCTAACTGATTTGTTATATACATCCGATTGAGCGAAGAATCGTGTACTCGTTTGTACTACCGACATATCCAGACGGAATGATGCATCGTTGAACGATTTCTCGACAGCTATCAGTTTCATTTCCATGTCATTGAGACTGAACTGCGTTTCTGGAAGCATGATATTATCAGATGCGCTCGCCAAACTTATCTAAAACACATACCATCAATAGCTTCCATAATCTCATGTGTCTCATTCAAACAAGTATTCCACACAAATTTCATGGCACGAATTTTTTCGGCCAACATCTTGTGCTCATCAGATTCGGAACCAAACTGAAATGTAATGGAATCGAATGTGTAAATGAGAATAATGAAAAAAA